CTCTTCTCTCCCCTCCCCTCCTCTTCTCTCCCCTCCCCTCCTCTTCTTTCCTCTTCTCTCCCCTCCCCTCCTCTTCTTTCCTCTTCTCTCCCCTCCCCTCCTCTCCTCTCCTCTCCCCTCCTCTTCCCTCCTCTCCCTTCCCCTCCTCTCCTCTCCTCTCCCTCCATCGTGTCTCTACCTCTCTTATCTCCGCCGGTGCCTCTCTCGGTATCTGTCTCTCAGTCCCTGCCTTCTCTGTGTCTCCTACAGTCTCCTGTCTCTCTTGGTCTCCCGGTCCTGAGCGCTCTCTCGCTCTGTTACTGGTGAGCGCTGGCTTTCAGCTCTCCGTGCCAGCTCTTCATGTGTCCCGGCCACTGACGTCTCACCAGCTCGCTCTCCCCAGACGCGGAAAGTCCACCTTCGGCGTGTGGGTTTCCCAAGCGCGCTGGGCCCCGCTTGCGGCCCTCGGGGGCGGGCTCTGTCTGTTGGAGGCGCTCCGGTAACCTTGCTGTCGCCTCTTCCCACCAGTGCACCGCCTGGCCGAGCCACCTGACGCCGAAACGACCAGCCTCTCCTGACTGCGAAGCAACAAAGGTGAGTGCACCGGTGCCCCTTTCGCCCCTCCGATCCCTCCCCAGCTGCCCTGGTTCGAGTCGACTGGAGAAATGAAGCAGCCACAGCGAAGCCAGCCTGCGGCCGCTTTCTCCTCTAAAGACTGGTGGGAGGGCCTGGGAGGCCCCTTGGGCGGCCGCACTGCTTTGGCTGCCCCCGGCCCCATCCCGGCGTGGAAACCCAGAGTTTCCAGGCTTGAGGGTGGCGGGGTCGCGGGTAGGGCAGCGCGGCTTCCCCTTTAAGGCCGGAGCCGCTCGTCGCCGTGAGTGTGAGGGTGTGTGAGTGTGCGGCGTGCGTGTCTCCTCCTCCCCGAGTGACACAGCAGTGAGAAATGCCTATCAGTAACTTAAACCCCCGAAACTCCACCTTCCGGGCGCGCGGCGCGGAGCCGGGCGGTGGGAATGGAGCGAGCAGATTGAGGCCGCCACTGCAGCGCCGCCAGCATGAACTTGGCCGCGAGCTGAAGCGGCCGGCGGCGGGCGGGCGCGGGGGCACCGGCCGCTAGCCAGGGGGTGATCTGCAACCGGGCTGGGTTACTAGGCGGCCGCCTGAGACTAGGCTGCCTGCGCCGGCGGCCGCCCGCCCCTCGGACACTGCCCCCGCCGCCGCCGGAGCTCTGCAGCACGGTAAGGCTGAGGGCGGGCGCAGGAGGTCCGACTGTTCTGGGGGGTCCGGGGTACACTTCTGGCCCCCAGTTATGGTCCCCATTGCTGAGGATCGGGGTCCCGAGATGCTTCGAGCCGGTAGACCCTAAAGTTTGCTCTGACCACACGGCCCACCTGGCGCTGCGGGCGGCCGCCCCCTTCTAGAACGGCCGGGCAGTGCTGGGCGCCCCTCGAAACGCCGGAGACCATGGCCTTTGGCTCAGCGCCCATCTGGCGTCTGAAATCGGGCGAGGGCAGCCACGTACCGGGGAAGAAAGGTAGAAGGGCGCAAGCTGCGCGGGTTCATTGGGCTACGCGGGGCTACCGGGAGGCTACCACTATGTCCCAGCACCCCCGAACCGCTTGCAGCCTGGGTGTCACCGGCGACGGTGCCTTCACATGCCAGCTCCCACAGCCCAGGCCAGTAGGCAGTGGCCGCTGGGTGAAGGATTCCCCCACCCCAGCGCTGTTTGCCGCCTCGGAGAGAGAGTGTGGAGTGTGCGCGCCGAACCCGCTGCCCTGCACTCCTTCTCCTGCCAACTCCTGGGGAGGGCAGCTCGGAGCTGAGCTGGTGCTCTCGAAACAGCCCCAACTGGGTTCCTGCGGAGCAGCGCCGGCACCCCTGCGTCAGAGTCCGCGCTCCACGTTCCCCAGCATCCGCGAGAAGACAGAGCTGGGCGCCGGGCGCCGGCTAGCGCGGGCGGGAAGCCCCCCGGAGCGCCGCCAAATACTTTTCTCAGACACTTGGCTTGGCCAGGCTCCGTCCCAATGCAGTGTGTCCGAAGCCTCCTGGAAAGCTGGAGATGTCGTCTGATTGTGATCCGTTACTAAATTCGGACTGAGCAGACATTAATAGGATTAGTGGGCCAGAAAGCTCGGCCCTGAAGCCATCGGAACCTGGGCAAACACGCGCCTCGGGCTGGGGCATTCACTCCCGCCGCGCTCCTGCAGCTGGGTGCGGCCGACCCGGGCACCCCGAGTGTGGGTGTGTGTGAGCAGGCGGGAGCACAAGGTGGCTGGGGGACGTGGGGAAAAGGGACTCCCTTTGCTGGGGTGGCTTGTCGTTGTTGTTTGGCAGCACGGTGCCCCCCGGGGGCGCCGTCCCCACGGCGAACGTGCTGTTCACGGGTAAGCAAACCGAGGCCGGCTCTGGGACATTGTCTGCGAGGGCCAGCGAGCCGAGCTTACTAGAGGCGGATGCGCTGGAACAAAGGCGCAAAGTCTCCCTGAAGCCGACCAATTTTGAAAGAGTTGGCTGAGAAGAGGGCCTGGGTCTCCCCGGGTAGATCCCGGAGGGAACTGTGCGGCCCTCAGCGGCCCTGGCCGGCGGCTGGGGAATGTGTTCCCCGGTTGCGGTGAGCTGGCGGGCGGCACCGCAGCCGCGCGGCCCAGCTCTTGGCAGGCGTGGGTTACCGCCCGAGTGCCCACCGGCCGGGCGGGGTCGACCGTGCAGCCGCTGGGGCTTCCCGGCCGCCACTGCAGCTCTGGGCCCCTGGAGGCCGCGCAGCTTCTTTACTTCCCTCCCTCCCACCTCTTCTTGTCTTTATAGATCCCCCCTCCCTCCCACCACCGCCGCCGCCGCCGCCGCCAACAATCCGCTTTATAAAAAGCCCCTTTGTTTCCCAGGAGGCTGGAGAGAGGGAAGGGGAAAGGGACGCAGAGGCAAGGGGCGGGGGCGGCTGTCTCCAAGTGGCTTCGAGCCGCTCGGGACAGGAGGGCAAGTGTAGGCGATGGGGGAGGGGCTGTGTTTCAGGGACCCTCTGTGGGAACCCAGGAGGGCGCACGAAGCCCCAGCCCCCGGGCCCTCGCTGCACGCCCAACCGGTCAGCCCTGGACACCCTAAACCCCGGCGGCCCGGACGGCCCAGTCCACTGCACTGCGAGCGGGCGGGCACGCGCAGAGGCCCTAGGCGGCAAGCGCTCGGCGAGGTGGGGTGACGCGACTCGCCGTTGCGCTCGCCGGGCTCCGGCATAGGGGGCGCCCTTTCCTTGGTTTCGCTTTGCAGCGGGCGCCCCTCGCCGCCGGAGATCAGGGCAGCTGTCGCGCCCGCCGGTGGCTGAGACGGCGGCAGCGGCTCGGAGGCTTCAGCCACCCGAGTCTGGCTACACAACGCATTTCTTCCCGCGCCCTCCCGCCACACCCTCCGCCCCGCCACACTCAGGGGCTCAAACTCTCCGAGCACCCTTTGTTTGGAGGCACGCGGGCAGTGGGAGCCGCCACCTCCGGGGTTCCTGTAGCCTGGGCGGGCAGTGAGGATGAGCGTGCCCCTCTGGACCGCACGCTGGCCTGCTGCTTCTGCACCTAACTCAGGGTCTGGCACTAAGCCGCCAGCTTTAGTTAGATTGACGATTTAGCGGGTCCTTATCCCTTCTACCTGCCCCCCTAAAACTTTCGAGAACCAGGGATTGGGCTGAGGAATGTCAAATACAATGTTAGAAGTAACCTTTCGCCATTCTATCGGCCTGCTCCGCCCCTGTGCCCCAAAGCGCTCTGTTTCTCTTTTGGAGTTTGTTGGGGAAGGGAATACTGAAAAGAAAAAAGTGACAAATAAGGAGAGTGGGCGGGGCTCAAGCTCAGGCTGGTGGGTCTCCCAAGCGAAGTCAGATTCCACCCCCTTTCTGGCCGCCTCCACCTCTCCCACTTCCATTTAATCTGATGTCGACGTTTTATTTGTGCCTTTTTACATATCTTTCCCCTACTCCCCTCCCTTCCCATCTCTAGAGTTTATTAATAAGTGCTGGTCAAACATTTGTTCTCCGGTCTTTGGAGTAGATGAAGCGTTAACACCCCCAACGTGTGTACACACATCCCAACTGCATCTAAAGCCACAAGAAAGTAATCAAAGGGTAAACTACTGGTTCTGCCTTCTCCTCCCCCCTTTGTGCTTCTCTTCGGAGCAAGATCATTGGAAAATAAAGCTGCTGATGTGCAAGATGGAACATATGGTGCCTCCATAAGAGAGAAGCTGAAATGGCCTTGAACCTGCCGGACAGACCAGCTGTTTGCTGCCAGCCAGAGCAGCTAATCAGCTTCTTCCCCTTAAAGTAACATCCTTCTTTTCACTTGATGACCAGTTTGCATGTTAAATAGGATATTCTCCAGAGGGGAAAAGTGATGGGTTACCATACTGCTTTGTGCTTGGTGGTTCTCCAATGCCTGCTTCCTGCTCTGGGAGCTACTCTGCCCTCTCCCAGTGCCTGCCTGCGATGTGTGAGTGTTTCTTTCAGTACCGAAGTAAGAGTGTTGCTCAAAGTGGAACTTGGGACAGAAAAGGCAGGAAAAAAGAAAGAGATAGGACTGAGACATTTCCAGATGTCTGGAAGGAAACCTCTCTGTTTGGTTCAGCTTCGGAAAAAAGTAGCACTCTTTCCCCTCTTTCCCCCTTTAAAAGTATCACAAAGAGCTGAAGCTTTTCCATACAAGATCTCCTTAAAAATCATCCTCTTCCGGCCGTGACCATTTTCAGTTTTCCTTCAGTACAACGTGTTGGGGGTGGGGGGTGGGGAACAGTTTGGTGTTGGAAGAAGAAAGCCTTTAGGAGATACAAGGAAATTCCATGTTAGGAAATCATTAGCAAAGGGTGATTTCGTCTGTTTTCCTGCCACTGACGCTGAAAGTGACACAGATGTGTGGGTTGAAATAGGAACGTCATTGAATTTTTACACTCCACCAGGAAATACCCTGTTGCTGGTGTGGGGCAGGGGCTACACATTCACTGCATCCTAAGGTAGGAGATTCACTATTGTCAATCCTTTTTACTAAGGAAAGGAATTTTTTTAGCTTAGCCAGCATGCTTAGTGTCTTTTCTTTCCTTTTAAATTGCTCATCTAAAGGCATAAAATGCACCTGTTAATGGATGATCCCTAAGAAACTCAATTACTATCTGGGGTTATGAAAGGGAATAAACTGCTCTTAGACAAGCGGTTCTTCTGAAAATAGCTGGACTATGCCTCTTCTTTAAAGTAGCCTCAATGTGAAGTAACTCCCCTTTTTTAAGATTCTGATTTTTTTTCTACAACAGTGCATTGCACAGATCATTAGCCTAGGAGCTGGGAAACTTGTGTTCTAGAAAGCTCTGCCCACTAATTAGCAGAGTGATCTTGGACAAGTCCATCCTTTCTCTCCTCCAACCCCATGACCTCTGAGTCTGCATCTTTTCCAGTTTTAAAACACTGTGGTTTGTGAATGAAATAGTCATTTTCTGGGAAAGTGAAACATCAAGTTCAACCTTGTCATAGGGAACCAACTAGACAGATAATAAAATGGGGCTGATATTTGGAAGTGCAGGGATAAGAAGGAGGAATAAAAAAAAAACTGCAGAAGGCCGATCAAAACAAT